TCGTGCCGCTGCGCTTGACGTCGCCTGTGGTGACTCGCGCCTCAGGCGCCCGCCCGGCGGAAAGCTAGACTTAAAATTCCCCGCGATCCCCAGCATTTTGTGAGTGGACGCGCGCCCCGGGGACACGGAAGGTACCGTGATGCGCCTCGCAAACCTCAGCAACTGGAAGTATTTCGGTCCTCGGGCGTCAGGCGGGCGTTTTCCCCACGTCGCCCTTGCCGTGACCTTTCTTGACAAGCCCCTTGGGTCTGAATTTCCAAAGAATCTCTTGGTTGGCCATGTCTCGGTATTTTTGTCCCACACGGGTTTGGTATTTTGGAGCTGCGTGTTCTCCGCTGTGGAAAACAGCATTGGGGTGGGGGTGGGGGGGTCCCAAGCAGGCACAAAACTGGTGAGGCAATTAAATACCAATTCTGAGTATCTTTGCTTTTGCTGAAATCTTTGCCTGGTGTCCTTTCACCCCAGGGACCACAGGGAAATCAGCTATGCGAACAACTCAAGACAGAATAACTTGCTGGATTTATGAACTCGAGTTTTATTTATTCTTGTTACCGTTAAAAGTTTCTGCGACTTCGGAAGTTCAAGACAATTTCTGGCACAGGTTATACAACTGGTGCAGCTCACGCCTAACATGCCGTAGGATCCTCTAAGGACAGTAATGAATTCACATTCTCCCCTGGTGGTAGGGTACCAAAGAGTAAATATAATTTGTACACCTGCCTTTCATGAAAGACTTTGATAAGTATTTCTTGTAAAATCGACAACACAGCCGTAACTTTCTTTCCTATAAGGATATAAAAATGAGCTTTTGCCTTTATAAAAGGCGTAGGTATCCTGAACCTCACAAACAGCACTCTGATTTTGTGAGCAAGACATCCTGAGTGAGGAATTTCCTCTACGCGGTTTGAGTTATGGTTTAACCATTTTCAGAGTACAGTCTACAAATATCATAGAACCCGTTACAGCACCCATAGGACAGCTAGGTTTTCAAAGGTGTCCAGAAGGCTACCTGCTCTGCTTGAGACGCCTTGGGCCCCAGGGCTACAGCTGCAGCCGGGCGGTCCCGGTGCGGATGGCTGGGGACACTGAGGAGTCTCAAGGGGGGCAGGTCCGAGGAGAGGGCTCCTCCTGAATGGACACTTTTGAAAATGCTAGCCTGGACATCTTAGAAGTTACTGCTTTCTCAACGGATGTACACGTACAACCTCACTAAGGTTAAGAACAGTCGGCGTTCCTCTCTGAACAACTCCTCTCAGTCCTCCTAGCAGGAGGATTACATCTCACGTTCTTTTCGAACAACTTCCTCTCCACGCGGTGGGATCGTTTCAGTCCTTCTGGAAGAAGGGAAGCAGACATCCGAGCATAGTAATGCTCTGCAAAAGGAAAACATTCTTCCCTACTCATGAGAGGAGTGGGGGGGACTTGTATAGCAAGTCACGATCTCCTCTGGAATATGAGCAAATGTCCAGGAAACACATGAGCATACTTTTGGCCTACCAAGGCCTCCAAAGGCTGCAGGAGGGTTTCAGTGCTGCTTGTTTTGCAGGGGGCTGGTGGGTGGAAGCGGGTGCAGAAGAAGAACCAGGGTCCTTCGGCACTGCTTGCGACCTCTGGAAATGGCAGATCAGCTTCATCCGGGTTTCTGTGTTTGCTGAATGGAGAGACAGGAATTGCAGAGCTTCTTTGAGGCACCAAGCGTACCCTTCGCAATAATCCTGCTGTAGGCTTTTGGCAGATGCTGCAAAAGCTGCAAGGGCAGAAGAGGAGAGAAGTGTTACACAGGGGGACTCAGGCTGGGGTTTTGCCTAAAAGTAAGAGCAGCAAGCGTGATCGGGGCACGTGCTCACCTCGGCTGTATTTCAGGTAGCTGACGGTCATCTCCAGGATGTCGGCTTTCTCCAGCTTGGAGTTGGGCTGGTGTCTCTGAAACTCCTTCTCCAGGAGCAGTTTCAGCTGCTCGATGCTGCTGTTAATCCGGTCACGGCGCAGCTTTTCTACAATGGGTTTCCTGAGCTGTAACACAAAAAGGGAAGAGAACAGTTAGCGGTGAGGCTTTTCCCTTCCCATCTCTGTGTAGCCTGCTGCTGAAGGGGCTCAGCCCTGCTCTGCTCTTTGCCCTCGCGATCGCAGAGACAGCAGATACTTACTCTGTTCTTCTCTTTGGGTGTTAGGATTTCCAGGGAGAGAGCACTGGGTGCCATTATCCCAAGTGCCGATTTCGGCTCAGAGCTCGCTGGTGAGCAGGTGGCCAAGGGAGCTGGGAGCTCCTCTATTTATACGCAGCGGCTGCATACAAATGTATGGGTCCTCAGCGACTTGGAGTTTCCCACAGTCGATAGCCAATCCATGCGTGCCCCGGGACAATAGAGAAAGCATCTATTACAGCATGGCAAATTGACTGTGAATTGCCTGGGGATAATACCCTGCTCCCAAAGGAGCAGGTGGACTGGGGAGCGTGTGACACAATGGGGCTTGGCATCGCGGCGCTGGGGTAAGAACGTGGGAAAGCGTTTGCCATCATTATAATCAAACTTCTGCCTGATGTTGGGAACGTCAACATCTCAATGTGCTGCCTTTTCCCAGGCTGTGGTGAAATTAAGTACAGAAGACCGATCCCAGGAAGAGATAATGCTCTGTGCCCATGACCGAAAGAGAGGTTGAAAAGGAAAAGATGCAGAATTAGAGGGACTAAACCCTTTCATTGACATTAAACCGTGCTTAGATGAATACAGTACCAGATAATTTTCGGGCAACTAAAGACAAAAATCGAGGGAAGGACCTTTAAAACAATTTGCACTAAGCAGTTAGCTTGAAATATTTTCCTCTCCATTGTTTAAATACTCAAAGTCCCTCTGTAAGTTGGAGTCAGAGCTCTTCCTTGCTGTTGTTTGGGTAATCTGGCCTTTCCCATAGCAGCCCGTGACATGTAATGATTATGATGCCTTTCCCAAACGTGTCCTATTTAATTTCATGCCACTTTGCAAATGCCTCCCTGTTCCCTTGGTCCTGAGTCTCCACATAAATGTATTTTCCCTTTACAGATAACTGAGATGCAGTGAAGAGTCAGTTCTTGCCTATTACTTTGTGTTATCCCACTTGCAGAATGTAAATACAGGTGCTAGGATACCCTGTGACTGCTCAGCCGTGGGCTTTCTCAGTATATGCGCCACGTGTATTGCAATGAACACAGGTAACATAGTGGAAAGGACCAGATAGAATCCAGGATCAAAGCTGCCTTTTTGAGAATTTTTTTTTTTTTTTCCAGGCTATTCTAGGTTGCCTGCTCAGGTCTGCTGGCTGCCCCCCTCGCCACCCCC